TGATGCATTTTTAATCCTATTAATCATTTATTTTCTATTAGTGATACGATTATTTGAACGAATTTCCTCAAAAATAAATCACTTATGTGTCATACAATGACATGGATAAGTTCATRGTATTATAACTAAAAATGTATTTAAATATTTTGGAAATTKCATTGTGTATAGTAAATAATAAGAAAGTCACAGCATAATATTTTTTATATTATAACAAAATTACTTAAGTTGTTTGATGAAAAATCTTTATTTTAATTTTAAATATATAATTGAAAATCAAAAATTTAAATTTCAAATGCTTATGCAACGTGGCCGGGGAACCTTGTTACGATATTAGTTATCCAGGGATGGTTTTCTATTCCTTATGGATAAGTTTTCCGTAGCTGGGGGTTARAGCACTGTGTATGAGGTATTTTATCAATAATAAGACACGTTTGGGTTATAGATCCATATTAATTATTATTATATTAAAAATAATACTTTACTAATGTAGATGGCTGTTAATAAGTGTATTTGGTGAGCTCGCTCCTGTTGATGGTGACTGTCGAACTAACTGCCGTGTGTCATTTTAATAATAAGTAATTATGTGCACGGGTAGAAAAGTGTTGAGTGTGTATATTATGTATTGGTCAATCATATAGTGTGTGTTAAGTGTGGGTATAATATATATATATTAAGTGTAACATTCGTTACACTTATAAAATAAAATTGTGTCAATTTATGATTGATATTTTTTAACTGCTTCAAACAAAATGTATGCGGTAACTTGTATTCATTTTCATACTATATACAATCAAAAATCTTAGATATCAACAAGTCAGTTATAAWAAAGAGTATGTAAATAAGTCACATACTCTCATTTCATCTTCCTATTTTTCAATGGATTAGAACTAGAACGTGTTACTTGCATTAAATATTCAGGCTTTAAGTTTTCAGAAAATTTTAGTTTTAGTAATTATTTCGATACAACTGTTGAAAGTGTACTTAAAAGTCTCGAATTTGTCTTATGTAACACAAATTTATTTTAGTCATTCAGGTTCCTTGTCCGTTCCTTATATTTTTTCGTTGTTTGTCCATTGCTGGAATGCGAATCAGTAGACTGGCATTCATCTTACATAGTAGAGGACTGTCTAAAATGCATTTTTGAACCATGCTCCTTTTGTAACGAATATTATGACTGTACCAACATAAGACAGATTCTTAGTATTCCTACACTAGCCTATCACCGCGATAAAGCATATTTGTCATCGGAAGTGTTAAATGGAATACTCGACGTTTCTAATCTCTTTGCTGTGATACCATGCAGAGTGCTTTCCCATTTTTCTAGAAATCAATCCGAATTCTACGCGTCTATTATAAAATATCATATTGGCATGATCAAACCTTGCATCACCTGCTAATAATAATTTTAAATCMCCATATCACACTTCAATATCTTAATTATAATTACTTTAGTTAATTATGTTATAGCTGATCAGTTATCTATAACAACATATTAAATATATAATAATTAGCTTTGTTTCTGTGGATTCATTTATCATAATATATACCTATATACAATTTTATTAATTTTTATGTTTGTAAATTTACCACATTTTTAACCACGTAAATTCCCATTGTTATTAATACTAAATAGTAATATAATATGATTATAAATTATAATATTAAAGAATTCAAAAACTATTTAGTGTAATAGATTTCTTAAAATCTTAAAAACATTTTCAATAGTTCAGTTTATTTAGTTATCTTGGCTCATCGTCTATTAAGTTTAATCATCAGATGAAGATTTTATTATAAACTTATTAAAATTATTGAAATACATTTCTTTTAAACCGTCATGTAGTAARAACACAGTTGTTTATCTTAATACAAACATTTTATGTTGATTATCAATTTTTGTAATTTTAATGAATAAATACAAAAAAGTTTTCTCATTGAAATTACGAGTTAAAAAGTATAGAAAAAAATTTGGTTGAATTAAATTCATCAAAGTTAAAAATTATGGAAATTATCTTTTCAATTTTAGAATAAATTAATTGTTCTTATTGTCTAATATGTTAATTAGTATTAAAACCACTTAAATGTGTAGGGTTGTGTTTACGATCAGAAAATTACATTCAGGCAATATTTAATATTACATTTTCCTCTTTAATATTGTAATTGTTTTTTAACAAATGTTATTATACAATAAATTATTTTTACAGCAAGGTTGCTGTTTATTTTTTTTAGCACTACAAATTTCTTGATGCGTACAATATGGTCGCATTTAGTTATTATTGTTATTAACGATAATTCAGTTACGGGGAGATTTGAAAGTAATAATTTTAAAAACCATAAATGAAAATTTATCAAGGGTGGCCAACATGAACACGCCCACGAGCCAAATGGCTAAATATAATGATATCAAGAGCCAAAATGTTTATAAATATATTTAATAATTTTTATAATTTTATCATATTGATAAGTAAATGTTGGTTATTTAAAAAAATAAAACTCGAGCCACCAGTTGGCCACCTTTGTAATATACATTATGCTACATCTGTATATGACTGTATGTAGGTAGTAACAGTCGTGTGCTACACTAGTAAAAACTGCTCAAAATTTACAAGATGACTACTTTTACGTGTACAAAGAAAAGTCTCAATTAATATGGATTGTTTATTGTGTATCGCCTGTATTCCGATCTATTTGATATTTAAAGGTTTTGGAACAAAGAGTAAAAAATAAAAACATCAAAATCAATCATAATTCACAGCATATTTATATAAAGGGCAATTTTTTGTTCGATATATTATAGTATTACAATGAAATAATATAATATATTATATTATATACAGGGTGTCCCGTGAGGATTTACCCATTGCGATATCTCCCGAAATAATGGTGATATCGAAATTCTGGTTTTGTAATAAGACTCACAGGGATAAGAACTACAATTATTTCATATTTTAATTTATTTTAATGTTTTGGTAAACAAGTTAAAAAATATATTTTTTTATTTAATTATTTCAAA